AATTGCAGTAACTCACCCAGGGAATGCTGGGATACGTAGCCAACTTTCAATTTTATACAAAAAGGTTTGTTGTGTTTCGTGAAATCTTGAGTTGTATTTTGAGAAGTTAGAGTTGTATTGTGGAAACAAATTTTATGCTGTGAGATATTAAGTTTTTTAAATTAATTAAAATTTTGTCTGTAAATTAAATTTGTGTTTCCAGAAATTTTCTTTTGCCAGAATGTAAAGTTTACTTTATTTTTAATTAATTTTTTGTTTTTTTAATTCAATTTGTGTTTTGATAAATTAAATAATATGGGAGAAGGTAAAACATTATTAATTGTGGACCACCGTATGAGTTTGGGTTTTACCCAACCAAGCAGTTGAGTACCCCCCCCCCCCCCATTGAACTCAGATCGACTCCCCTGAACAATACCGGTAATAACATCTGAGCATAGTCCCTCATGACGAAGAACTTGAAAAAAAACCCTTACCGATTATAATAAAACGCTCACAGACAAACTAAAGCGAAAGCAGCAGCTACAGAACTGCAGCTAAGTCCCTCCACAATGTGACTGTGATCTTAGCAATACATTAGCACTGTGTACAGGTCTGTGATTATGGAGATGGTCGACCTTGCACAACTAGTATTTTACTCGTACATTTGTTTACTTCTAATATCGAGTATAAAACAGTCATCTTGTAGGTACCATGTAGCGTTATAAAATAGAACCTTACCTTGTTTTGTTTAGTGTCAGTCACTAAATTCCGTGCTCCAGATCTGTCGATACACACTTGTTTCTGACAGGCGAACTGTGACACGAGCAACATTCACAAACAGCGACCAGATGCGGCGATAGAACCTTTGTAGCGTTCATGATCGGAATTCCACAATGGACTGACAATGATGCTACATATAAGTCGTAATATCTTGGAATAAACAGTTATTTGTTGCCCAAAATCTGATTATAGGTTGAAATTATTCATGATTCTCCTTCCAGAGACTATGGGTCTTTTATCACTAAGCTAGGTAGTCGCCAGGGAACGTCCCACTAGTATCGATGGGGGTGGTGGATTGACGAACATCTCACCGACTGAGGGCAGTATTGCATTAACTAACTAAATACGTAATAGATGTATTATTCCGTGTTAAAATATGTCTGGTGTGATCCTGATAGAAGTAAACACGGAAACAATATTGGAATACGAAACTAAATACGAAGAATGCCTATGTCGATACAACACTCAAATTTATCCGTAATTGGATTATTCACTAATGTGATGGTGCTGTTTCGGGTTCTTTGTTGAACCCTTCATCAGTCGGAACAGTACTTGACCGAATCGTTCGATTTATTTAGCTTTCAGAATGTTCCACGTTATTACTTATCATTATACAATTCTTCGTCGTTTGGTGTGTCGTTTTTCACGATGTTGTTGAGATTGTTTATTGCGCATTAGATATTTGATCATACGCATTCTCTTAGATAGCATAGACGAGTCTCTGAGTCCGTTGCCAAGGGCAATGACCTCTGTTGGGGTCAGAATTCTACTTCTTTATTCGTTTTTAATATTGCAATGTGTTTCTTACGTGAGAAGTGTC